AGTGCTGTCTCCAGGTAGCTATCCATGGGTGATTCCATTCAAGAAGTTCCGCAGCTGTTTGGAGGCCACGTGAATTCCAAAGGCGTTCTCCACTCAGGCCGCGACTGGAGATGACTTCATATTTTGGTGTACATGAAGGTGAATGGCGGCAGCCGGCTCCTGCTTATAGAGGAAGATCTTGGGTATCTTCCGCCCTGGTACTCATATCCACTTCCTCTGTCTGGGCTGCGAAAACTTCGCTCATATGTGACTCGGCCGGAATGACTTTTTTTTTTGGCCCCCCCCCCCTGTATGGTGCGATTAGGCTACGTGAAGCGGCTTGTTCACACCACGGGTTTACGCCAGGGTGAAACATCATGTAGGAACTGAGGAATCATGCAAGACCTAGTTACAGCCCGCTGCCGCGATTCGATCCCCAGACCGTGCAATCCTTATCCATGCAGTTGATTAGGCGGTCAAAGGGTCGCAGACGGCTGCGGCGCGTCACGACCGCGGCGATCAGCTGTTTCTATCCCTATTTAGCCATTTTTCTTTAATTTTTGATGTATTACTTATTTTTTCCAAGGAAATTTGTTTTTTGTCCTTATGAAGAATATCACAACGTGGATTCTAGTTTTGTTTGTGCAATGAAGTGTTTTTTGCGCACTGTTCTTTGGGATTTGTTTCCATTGTTTCTTTAATTATTTGATTGTTCGCAAAAATTAGAAAAATCTCAATCATAATTTACTTTGTGAAAACAAGGAACAACTAGCCTCAGAAAAAGCAACCAAGAACAGTGAAAATTAGGGAGAAAATGGCTAAATAGGCTGGAAACCGCTGATCGTCGCGGTCGTGACGAGCCGCAGCCGCGTCTGCAACCCTTTGACCACCTGATTAACTGCCCGAATAACGACTGTATCTACATAATTCTGGGTGTGTAGCGTTACTTCCAAACCGCGGCGTAACAGGCGTTGCAACTGCAATGACGGATGCCGTTCAACGTACCACTTATGCGACGCGCCTACTCTCTCGACACAGTCTCTCCCTCTCTGCACCTCTCGAGTCGACTAGCTCTCTCTCTCTCTCTGCGTCTGTCTGTCGAGCCAACCAGCTAGGAAACACTCTGCTAGTGCGTGCGATGCCGCGACATACTCTCCCCAGCCCCTCCCCCCCCCCAAACCCTTCTCATACACAGGTATCTTTCTCAATAACTTTACTCAGTGCTATTATTCCCGTGACGCTACACACATTCAAACGAACGGCTCACGTGAGCGGGAAGAAATCAAACCTTTTCCTTCCTTTGTCTAGCCGCGTTGTGTTGGATGAGCTCTCTTCACCGTCCTTCGAAATCTCGAACTTTGAATGGTGACGGTGGCGGAGCAGTCGTGAAGGGAATGATTTTAGTTTAACTAAGTCTATGTGGTCTGAGTTATTAGTATTAGAAAAGCTACGGATTAAGTAAGAGCTCCTCTAAATACTTGACATTGCCTAAAGTGGTTAAAATGTCAATTCCGCTGTGCTGGTATGTCGCAGAGGTATCAACCAAGGCATCGCTCTGGGAACTTCGCTTTTTCGTTAATTAGGGACGTGGACGAAGACTAACCTTTGCGCTTCCCTCTCTACTTCTGGTTCCTCTTGTGGTTGCTCTATGCTGAGTAATCCCTTCTTTGGCCTGCTTTGTGATAAGATGAGTATACCAGCAATGAAAGTAGCCAGCAGTAAACCTGAAGTTTTTTTTTACTGGAAGTCATTTCAATTGGCAAAAGGTTTTGATGCATGTTCATGAGAAAAATTTAGATTTAAAATTCTTGAGCTCGAATCTTGGCTCAAGTATTAGCTCATCTTCAGCTCAAAACCGCAGATCATCTTAAGATCACCGCGCCAACTGTCGCGCTGCTCGCCGCGCGCGGTGCGGGGTTCCGAAGATTCTGCAGTGTCAGAAAACAGAAATGGATTGCGGGTCACCAATGTCGTTGTAAAGGTTTGTACAAGCGTACAGATATTTGAACTTGTTCAAAAGTAACCAGTTCAGCCTACATCTACGGATGTCTTTTTGAAGGCAATGAGCACGATACCTAGGGCATGCGGTTGCTGCCAGCGTCATTGGTGGAAGAGCTGCGAGAGAGCGATTGGCCCCACCCCACTCCGCCCTTCATCAATGAAGTTGGCGACAACCGCCCGCCCCCGGAAATCGGGCCAACTGCCTTTAAAGACACTTACCGCGATAAAGTGTTCGGGTACTCTGGTGCCGGGCCAGTAACCCCGCACGCCAGTGGCCCAATTTGGTAGACCGCCGCCAGTGAACAAAAAAACCCTCCGCGACTTCCCGGAAACCACGGGAACTACCCATTTAGCAGTGGGGCGGGGGCCTGGGATCAGTATGCGCGGAACGTGGCTGCCAGGACAATGCCGATGGCGCAGGCCGGCAATAGCGATCCGACGTTGCGAAAATAGGATACTTTTCAAGGGACCGGAGAGCAGACTCGGCAACCCGGACGCTCGTCACCCTACCGTCTCAGGAGCGCTAAAAGCCGAGCTCCTTGTGGGAAATCGCTATACGACTTTCCTCATCGCGCCATATTGAGGGATGAAAGTGCTATCATCTTCGTCAAGGCGTAGAGGGTTCCAAACAGCACGAATTCATTTTGAGGACCACTTTATCGCGGTAAGTGTCTTTAAAGTAATGCAGAACGCAAGTTCAACATATAACTAGGCCCTTCCTTCCACCCATAGTGCACTTCAAACGACAGAAACCAACAACGGGAAATAACACCACGCCGAATTCGACCCCAAACGGTTTGTCAATCCCTACAGTAGCGGTGTGGCAACCATGCTTGCTCACCTTCTACAATGATAAGCAGGGTCGTCGATGATACTTCGTTCAATATAGCTTTCGTACTCTGCGAAGCGATGAAAGAACCAAGACTGAACATTATCGAAACAACAATCATTCTCACTGACAGCTGGAAATATGATTGGATATTTAATGAAAAAGTTGTAGTGTAGTTCGCTGCGGACAGTTGGGCGTGTCAGGCGGGATGAGTTTGGCGCGGTGCCAAACCCGTTCTCCACCAGTTGTTAAAGCGAGCAAGTGATAAGATTATATCATATTTCGTATTACTCGTTTTCTACTACTGAATGTCGGCGCGCAACAAGAAGGCAGAGAACGGCTTGACGGTGTGAACACTCATACTGCCTGACACGCCCAACCGTCCGTAGCGAACTAGAGTGTAACTACGGACTGCACACTACATCAAAATATCTTATATTATCTTATCCTTATTACGTGACATTATCTTGTTGCGTGGTTTTACCCTGGGCGTTCGTTATACCCAGCGGAACTGGTGCTAGTGGAACTGCGGAAGGGAAATTTCTCTGACGAAAAGTTCTTCGTTTGGGTGCTCCCAAAACATGCAAAGTCGTTTTCGCTGAAGACGCTGGGGGCGTGTCAGGGGGGCTTCGTTTAATGTGGCGCGAGGCCGTCTCCCTATAATTGCTTCAGCTTGCCCACTTCAACTACTGATGAACGGGCTGGCAGTGACGTTATACACCCGAGGGAAATAATGCTCCTGAATGCATTGTAATGGGTGGACATTCTTTCAACGTACGAAAGGTAGATCCACATCGGCCAGTGACCCTTACTCCGGCTATTGACCCACCGTAAAGCTAAAGCTCGAGAAACTACAGAAACCGTGACTATTGTTGTTTAGCCCAAGGTAGGACGTTCCCATGGGTAAGCGAGACATCCCATTTTGAAGTTCGAGAGTCTACAGACTGCTCAAAGTGGGCACTTCCCCCAAGTTGAGCATTACTCCAGTGACGTCCCCCCCCCGGCCTCCTCCTGTCTGAGTGCACGTAATTTTTCGAATTCTTATATATGCAGCACCAACACAACCCATCGCAATTTTCCCTCCCATTGTTTCACTCGCTCCCTCATTTTAATGGAAAATATGAAGGCTACTAGAAAACTCACAACTTTCTCGTCATCAAATCGATCAGCAACGTAAGCGTTTACACAACTCATTGTCAGAAAAAAGTCACCCATGAGACCTGTGATGACGGCCGTGGGATAAAACCAGTACAAAGAGATATCAGTTGAAGGGGACCAGATAAGAATTCTCACTGAAATACAACGACATACGTAGTAGTGTGGGTCGACATAACTTCAACTTTTAAAAATCTCACTTGCATTTTCCACTAATACACTTGCGATTCCCACCAGTAACGGTAATTTTCGTCCATAATAGTCGCTATGCCTCCTAGATTTAGACAGGAAATTGCAATCACAATACGATGCTCCTACATCAACACTTGGGACTGTAAATACACACTGCCGCCACAGATTCTAATAGGATAGTGAAGGTGGGCTGGGTGACTTCATCTAATCCATCTCGGTCTTTCTCCGGCTGCTGCATTTCCCCTTTCTTCTTCCACTATGGGGGTGTGGTAGAGGAGAAAGGTATGTATGTTAATGAGTAAGGAAAATTGGCCATGAATCCCCCGCCAATTCACCGCCCATTTGGTTATTGCGGAATGTGACATTGAGCTTTAGTCTTTGCGCACTCGGCCAGACTTGGTCTTTTTAAAGAAATACACAAATTACTTCACTTCACAAAAATCAATAACTCACCATACATGATTCCAACAATACAAGCTATAGGTAGGTTAACATAGGAATAGTTATTGTCCCATATAACCATTTTTCTATTATAAAATTTCTTTAATTCTTTATCGGAGAGCCCAGGAGGGGCTGGATATTCTCGCATCATTTTATGTTCCGCCATTTGTGGTGCGACAATCGATCTGAACTGTAAACAAGTGAGAATAATAAAAATAGACTGCACCGAGAACTGGTAGTAAATAGTAATAGAAATACCAAATGTACTGATTGATCTGTTAGGTACGGAAATAGCGAAGAACGTGTAAAACGTTACCTTGCCGTGTTGCAAGCGGCCAGAACTAACATTAATGGTTCAACGCTGATTTCAAGTGATTTCACCCATGACCAGAACCTCTTGAAGTGTTCGGACATAAGATGACTCGAATGGTTTACTTACCCTGAAAGAAATATATTTAGCATCCCTTTGAACAGGATCTACAACTTCTGGAAACGAAACAGGCTGAAAAATTCACTGAGAATTTCGGCATCGATCGGAAAAAAAATAGGAATATTACAAGCACCTATCTCAGCGAATTAAATACTTCGCAATTTTCGAAGCGTTCATTTTTTCCGAAGATTGGAAACGGAAAACAAAAAGACAAAGTGTGCAGGCTCAATGAGCGCGTGCGCAGAGCCGGTTCTTTCCCCAGATGTTCGTACAGTGTTGTTCATTACGGATGATGGGGCGTGGCGGTGAGGCTGAGTTTGGCGCGCCGCCAGCACCTGGAAGCGGTAAGCGCAACAATTGGTGGAGAACGACTAATACAAACCATATTATACAGCCGTGTTGCTTGCCGAAAGAAAAGGAAGAAAAAAAACGGGACGGCGCCGCGCCAAACCCATCGTCCCTTGACACCTCCCATCATACCCAGCGAACAAGACTGCAATATCTTCTTTTCTCTTCTGATTGTTTGTTTTTTCTAATAGAGGGGTACAATCTGAAAAAAATACTCGACTACCAAGAAAAGTGCAGATTTGTTTCTTTTTTTTTTGCAACAGTTGAATTTCTTCGGTTTAAAAAACATGGTGACGGTGACTATTCCTGCGCCAGCAAAATCGATTGTTAATGTTCAGTACAAAGCGGTTTTCGGCTAATCGGATTACAAAAACGAAATCGTAGACCGCTATCCGATTAATAGTACTATCATTCCGACAAAAGTCATAGAGTATGAAAACAAGTATGTATGTCGATTCTATTGATGATGATGATAGTGAAATATTTCGAGGAGCAACCTTCAAATATCTGCTAAATATGACTGAAATGAAAAAAGTCACTATGTGTGCAATTTTTGAAAATAACTGCAAAGCTCACTGTGTTTTGGTGGGACCTCACTTGGAGACAGAATCGATAGAATCAAACTGTACCTATTCGATTGCCAAACGAAAATTGCGAGTGAATAATGAAGCTAGTATTTTTACCAACTGGCCAAGTTACGGGCCGAATATAGGGCCATATTGGAGACTGGGCACGTCCTGCCGCGGGGAAACTTTTCGGAAAATACGATCTCCCCTTCCCCATCACCAACCTACCATCCCTATGTACAGATTATACCAAACTTCTCACCATTTCCGAGAACTCCCAAAAGTTTTCCTCATTTTTCCTAGAGTTTTGCACTGGAGGGGGGGGGAGGGGGGGGAGCTAAGAACCGCATAAACGTGAAACCGTTGGAATTCCCCAACAGTGTGGTTAGCGGTTGTGGAAGAAAAAAGACAACTGTCGAAAAAATTTTCTCGGACTAAGTACGCCCCCCTCTCCCTAGCGTCCAAATACGAGCCCGCCCCTGCTGGGTATTCCCCAAAGGATGTGCCCTGTGGCAGATAGATGGAGAGGGATCCCTGATCAGTGCGATGAATAGAACGGTGACTCGAAAGCTCAACAGGGAGCCCCAGAGATGTTCTCTTTAAAAGAGCTAAAAAAGATACAAGAAGCAGTAATATGAGAAAGTACGGAGAAGAAGCCGCCATGAAGACAAAAGTAAACACGTCACGAATGATCTGGATCAAATGCCAATGAAGATAAGAGTGCAAGTGCAAATATTGCCTGATAAATCGAGATAAAGACAGCCGTAAATGATAGTTTTTATCGTACACAAAACAAGTTGCATGATTGCTATCGTACACAAATCACGTTGCAAAGCTGTTGTTCTATTTGAAACTAATTGGATGTGGAAATCGATATTGATTCAGTAGGTATCCGGTGTCATATTACAAAGTCCCAGTTTCCAGACCGGTAGTTGTGACTTACATCAACTGGATAGTTCGATTCAAATAGTTGCGTCCACTCCATCAATCAAGCTTGAACAAAGTTAATTTTTGGAACGACTGAGAACGAAAACTGGTCGCTTGTCAAATCAATACAATTCAACCACACATAGTCATGTTCCCTGCAAATTATTGGGCGGGTGAAAGCGAGTGCGTTGGATTGCAGCCAAGACAGCCCTTTCCATCAGTAGGACTTAGGACATCATCAGGTCTATGGAAAGGCCGCTTTGGCAGCCTTCCAGTCCACGCCCCATAATACGCCCATCATTTGCAGTGATTATGACTGTATTCGGTTGCACACAGAGTCCTCGATGATGACGATCATGTCCAAGGCGTGTCCTGGCGCTGGAGAGAATATTTGCTAAATGTGTCTCCTCCTGCGCCAAAGTTTCCACTCCGCCGCCCCTTCCCCACTTTTTACAAGAGGAAAATCATCCTACTTAACTTTCCCGAATGTTTGCCGATTTGCCATCAAGTGATACCAGAGGGTGTAGACATTTCTCATCAATTGTCAGAAATAGTACAATCCTGCTCGCCAGTGATGATGGGCGCCTTAGTGCGACCAGGTTCGGCGCACGGCCAGCCCATTCTCCATCACTTGCGGGTAAGCGGCACCAATTGGCGGCTGGTGAAAACTGACTGACATGAATGACAGGGTACAGTCTTGTCGCAATACGAAGAAAGAAAGGGCTGACGCGCGCCAAACCCATCCCCCTGACACGCCACTGACTAGAAGAAGGTATAGCGCGCGTGAATCGGGGCCAATTTGAAAGAATTTTTTCCCTAGCAAAACTGAACCACTCTCCTGCAGCAGCCAAGCACGACTGTTCGTCGGTGATTCCCAGCGTGTGACGCGCCTTGTTCACTATTGCAGGATCGACTCTCCCCGAAATTCCTGATTTTAATTATAATACAAGGGCACGCTTGAGAATTGGCTGACAGGGAACCCCTCTACTTTCCGGAAGGTGCGCTGGTCCGCAGCCGACTAGAGTGTGTCGCTTTCGCCATCTGAAAGTGCGAAGAGCGGGCGCTAGAGTCCTCTGTTATTCAGCCCGGGGTTCACGCTTACTTCACAATGGTGACTAATTCCGATATGAGGCAAGACTATGAAGACACGAACAGAGTTCAGGATATAATGCGAAAGAGGCGAGACCAACCCATGTCTCTTTCATAGAAATGAGAGTTCATCCGAACGCGTGCTCCTTTCTCTTCTACTTGTATGATGCTACAACAAGAGGGGTCATTTGAGGCAATTCGACGGTTTCGCTCTCGCTATGTTTTTTTGGACTGAACTGCTTCATTTAAGAGCAGTTCAGGCACTCGATAATTTGGTGTCGGCCATAAGAAAATGCGAGTAAGGCGTTAGTATATGTGGGGAAAAATGGCGAAAGAACGGAGCTACGAAACGGTCAAAACCTGCGAAGAAAGAGCCTCCGTCCTTATTATGTTAGAAATCAATTTTGGACGAGTTTCCTGTATGCATCTTGCCAATAACCGCCACCGATGGTACGGCTACATATGTGGACACCACATATGCAGCCGTACCATCGATGGCGACTATCCATGCAGTATCACGGCCGCTTCATACCAATCCCTTCGCTTCATAATTTGCTTAGCAAATGAATCGATTAGAGCGTCAGGAACGGTCGTCCATTTGTGGGCGGGCGGGCGTGGCGGGCGTTTGGGTCGGTATGTTGTGGCTTGATAGGACCCTTATAAGGGTACCTCAATTGGAAAAGGCATTATGCAGCACCTGCTTAGGGCCGCGGTATTCCGTCCTGCCAGACGTATTAATCCTACTCGTCTGGGGATTTTCGTGCCAAAACGTGCCTTTAAGTCTGTTTGAAATTATGGGACCATGCAAAACAATCTTTGGTTGTTAATTACAGATTTTTCCATTACTGCATGTGCAGTGCATAAATGTTATCCGTCTCTCTTTTGATATAATACACTTGTTTCCACTGAAATCTAAATCAGTGGAAACCAGGATAATATATCAGGGTACAATAAAAGGTAACGAAGCGGCAACAATCGCATTACTCATCAGTCAGCTCTATCTCGAGAGACAATTGAAGGTGTGATTTATGCTGAGCGTGCGCCGCAACTAAAAAGCCACTAAAACAGCTGAAAAGCCAGATTCAAAAGTACTACTCCCTATCCCTATAAGATAACAAGCACACATTTGTTTATCACAATTACTTACTGCATTCCATTGATAACCTCTAAAGGGGCATGGCTTGGAGCGCAGCTAGACAAGATTTCCCACCAGTCGCAGCGGGCTCGAGACGACATCATTGGTGGATAAAGGATACCCTGGCTGCGCTCAAATACGCGCAGAGTCACACGCCCTATCATTTGCGGGGATCATAAGGGTAGTGTTAGAGAACAAGAGCAGAATCAATTGTCACGTTAAATTCGACATTAGCACACTGCGCCAGAAAAAATAAAGTTCGTTCTCACTCAGTTGTTCCATAATTCTTGTTTGGTTTTTGTTGAAATTCATTTTTTTGCTATTCCAACTTGAGTCATGGCCAAACACTTGTGATATATTGGAGAGCAGTGAGCAGGGCAAATCCGACCAAATTTCAAAAATAGAAGTTCTAAAGCGCCGCCAAGGCTACGTATTCTTGTGCCCCACTCTTACAGATACGCCTCTGATTACATTCCGTCTGAACTCTCGCAGCCACGCCTCTTATAACTGCTCAGATATGCACTGTAGAAAGAAGCGGACAATGGAATGCAACAGAAGGAAATCTATTAGTATCTGGGACGGTGTTTTATGCAGACGTATAGGGGAGAGTACCATGGGAAAAAAATTAGAAATCTGAGAAAATAGAGAACGTTGGGGTCAAGGTAGACCGTATTTGGTCGCTGAAGGTCGTACTCGCCTTTGAAAAAATGTTTCGGGACCGTTGACTTGTCGTGGTTTTTTCATGCGCTGGACCCCCTCCCAAACTGCCCGCTCGCCGGTAGTTTTTAGGAAGGTTAAGAAAATTCGGGATATTTATGGGTAGGAAGAAGGAGAAAGAAACGGCAAAATGAGCACAACTTCTTTATAACCCTTTTCACACCAAGAACAATGCAAAAAAGAAAAGACATCTAGAAAGATA